TTCCCTCGAATTAAGACGATAATCCCCAATACTTCTTTTTAGCTGCCAGGACTTGCATGAAAGCTTTTCTGGCCTATACGCAGACCTGGGTAAGATAGAGTAGATCAGCTGCTTTCAACTCACTTTTTTTTCGTGCCCGTACAAATACACATCGTCCTTAGGGCCTGTATAAATTCGAATCCTCAATCCCTTTGTCTTACGCTCCGCAAATATGCTTTGCTTTTTTCTCAAACCAACGACGTTTTATTTAATAGAACAGTAAACGGTGACAGCACAATGAACTCATATTATGCGATCAAGCGAACAAACTAATGCTCGATTTTTTATTAAAATGTAATTGTTTTTTGTTTCAAATTGTGTTAAAGAATGCACCGTCCGACTCAGGCTCGCTTTTTTTTCCTCTACCCTGCCTGCATCTGGCATCAAGCATGTGTTTATTTCTCACCTTTTCCAGTAATAGACATTTGTTTATAAAAGATTGTTTGATTTTTTTTAAACGAAAGAGTAATAATTATAGCCATTGGGATATCATAAAAAAGTTAGAAATTAACTCAATCGGCCTGTTGGAGGATGGACCGGATTACTGGATATATCGCTGGATACTCGCGTTGTTGTCTGGAGCAGACCTGCAGGAATAAAGTATAAGGTTTTTTAATTGACGAAATTTCATCCTTTCTAAGAACTCACTATGGGGCTTTATGTCCGCATAATTGCTATATATTGAAGAGTATTGGTTCAGTCGATCGAATTTGTCTCAGAACGCACACGCAAAAATCAAGTGAATCTAGTGGGACTTATATTGGGGCTTATTCGGCAAGGCCTCGCATTTATACATTTAAATGAATGGGAGATAAACAAGAATTTGATTTAGCCTCCTAAAGATTGTGTCGATCAATTGGCCAAAAATCACAAAATGAGAATACTTGTAATGACAAGCACCCTCTTACTGCGCTCTAATAAAATGACAGCGGTGGTGTATAATCGCAAGTGGGTAGTGTGTTAGGACGAGAGAATGTGGGTTTCTTGCATTTCTGAGTAATGTAAAGATGTGGCCTAAATGGGCTTATTCACTTGATAATTGATGAAAGTTGGTTTGTAAGCCAATCGAAGTGCGACTTCTTTTACAGGTCAAAATATGCTAATAAAACCCCTCAACGAATTACTTAGCAACTCATTATGAAATAAGTTCTCTTATTCTGACCAGTCATCAAAATCCAAAATACTACTTAGAAAGCCATTAAGTAACGTGCGAAATTTGTAATAACTGGTTCTCATGTGCTTGTAGTGTTACTAGGCGGCATGATGATAAGGTCCATTCTTCCACCAAACTTGTTGCGTAAGGTGGGCATGACATTGTCTGCTCTCACAGCAAGTAGCCATAGTTCTACCACAACTTCATTAATACTGGCAGTATATAGGCCGATATACATTATTGAAAGATCAAGGCTTCTAAATACTTAAGTAGAACACGAAAAATTATGCCCATAGACAGGCGATCAGTACAAGTTTGGGCACGTATTCACCACCGGACTGTGACGAGACCTCTTAAACCGTGGCTAAATTTCACTAATGGCCTGGGGTGAATTTATACATTCGATCCACGTATGCACTTTTATTCTCCATTCAGAGGCCCATGTCCTAGCTTGTCTATGCACATTTACACATAAATGCAAACCCAGAACACTTAATATCAATATACGCATATACACAGCCAAAGCGCGATCGAAAGTATATAAATGAGAACCATTTCTGGCTCGATGCCTTTGCTACACATGATACAGGCATTCCTTTTCTCTTTTCCCACCTCTCCATATACACCACTTTTGCATGTCATCACGCTGCTTTCATGAAAAATGTATTGATATTTCTGGTCGCTGATTCCTCTAGTGCACTTTCGCAGAATTGACATTTATAAGTCCTTTATAAAGCATCATTATTTTAAATCTATCATTGTAACAGAAAAACGAACCTAAAATAAATAATAGCAATAAATTAGCCGAATTCGACTCGCTATATCGTTAAAAGTATCTCATATCCAAGCGTAAGATTATGGAATAAACAAAATAGATATGAATTATGTAGTCTCAAAATAAAACAAACAAAATAGCCCTCATAAATAGGAGAAATAAATGTAAAAAATTGAGCGGGAGTTATTTGTGGTTGTTAGATAGATTAAGGGAGAGAAAAAAAGAGATGATACAGGAAGAACCGCTGAACCAGAGGCTTGACCAGTGTTGAGTTTCATTATGACTCTCACATTTCATATGGCTTGTGCATTGCATACACACACCGTGCCCTAATATATACGT